GAGGGAATGGCCTCAAGCTGTACAGGGCAGGGTCAGGCTGGCTCTGAGGAAGGATTTCTGTGCAGAAGGGGCTGTTGGGCGTTGGAATGGGCTGCCCAGGGCAGGGGGGAGACCCCGGGATCCCTGGGGGGGTTGAAGAGTCGGGCTGAGCCAGCGCTGAGGGATCTGGGGGAGTTGGGAAGGGTCAGGGGGAGGTTCATGCTTGGGCTGGAGGAGCTTCAAGGGCTTTTCCAACCCGGATGATTCGGGGATTCCGGAGTGAAGGGCACCACAGCAAACTGAGCTCGGCTGTTCCCAGAGGGATGCAGTGCCCATGGTACCTGCAATCTCTTCGATGCTGTTGGCACAAATGTCCAGCAGCACCGTGCCATTGAGGATGCAGCTCCTCAGCTCAAAGAGGCTGTGCAGGGACAGCGTGGCCACGTAGGGCTTGCTCCAGCGCTCACCGCCATCTTCCACATCCTCCTCAAACTTCAGCCACCTGCAGACATCGGGCCCCATCAGCCCCATTGCAAGAAAACAGCCCCAGCCCTGCAGCCCCCAGGATCGAGCTGTGGGGCACTGAGAGCAGAAGGGTCCTCAGAGCAGCACCTGCAGCTGCAAAGCCTCGCCTCCCACAGAGCAGAAAGCAGAGCCCACAGGCGCTGGAGGCACAGCTTACCTCGCTGTTTCCTTCCACTCAGCGCCTTCTCCCTCTTTCGCGCAGATCTCATCCAGTTCGGTGAACAAGTCATGGGGGACGTGCTGCTCGTCCTCCTCAGTCCCCAGGATGAACTGCACCCGCTGGGACGGGGTGTCTGGGGGCAGAAGGTAAAGCCCCGTCCCGTTACCACACTTGAATACGGCACATCATGCTCACGTGCAAAGTGATCAGATCAGACCAGTTCAGCCACAGATATTGGGCTGGGCCCCTCCCCTGGCTCTGGCCAGGCTTGCTCAGCCCCTCGGAGGAGGAAAAGCATCGATTCCACCTCTGCAGAGGGATGGGCAGCTTTCCTTCCCCACATTTCCATTTTTAAATCCAGGATCCCTCTAAGGAAGGTGAGCCTAGTTCCATCATGCATTTAACTGCCTCAAAGAGAAAAAAATCTGAGAAAAGTGGAAAAAGGGGGTCTTGCTAAACAATGCTTCTTTCCCTCGGAAGAACAGCAAGTCACGCCAGCTACCCACATGGACCCAGCGCCCACATAGCCCCGAGTTGTTTAGTGAAGGTCACGGTGGGACTTACAGTGGTAGCCCGGCTCCGTCGGGGCAGAGTCCTTCTCCCGCTCCCGTTTCCGATGCTTCTGGCTGTGGGGTCGGTGATGCCGGTGGCTCTGCCTCACCAGCGGCATCCGCACGCCCACGTACAGGGTCCGGTGGCCTGAGAAAAGCAGCATTGGCAGCGCTCTCACTACAGTGGGATGGTTGACACTGACACCACGGTTAAATCAGTGCAGCCATCCCAGGAGGAAACACCAATCTCTCTAATTTTATTTTTACTGGATCCCTGAACATCACTGACCCGCCCTTTTATTGAGGTTTATTTTACTCGAGCTTGGCAATAACAGGGCACCAACAAGTGATGCTCTGGGTCATCTAAAAGTCCCCTGGAACTATCGAACTTCTTCCCAAATTCCAACTTTGGCTGGACAACACTCAGACTTACTCATTAAGCAACAGCAGAAGGTAATTATTTTTAAAATCTTTGTATGGCACAATGCAACAAAAGAAGATCAAATCACTCCCATGATAAATCACAGCCCTGTGTCTGCAGCCATCAAATTATTCTCCTGACCTCTCCAAGCCAGGAGCAGCTGCTGTGAGAAAACAAGCCATGAATTATCCAGCCCTGTGGCTAAAAGTCACACTGTGGCCTCCGTGGGGGCTTTTTTCCCCTGTGTAAAAAGCCATAATAGTAAACTATGTGAAAAAAACTGTGCTGCTTTACTCAGAAGCACAGCACGTTTTGCTGCACATGAGGTGACACTGAACAAGGGACGCTGTAGGGACTTTGTGCAACGGGAGAAGGCGCTGGGCGGGTGTCCCCTCTGGCAGGCTCTCAGCAGAGACTCACCTTCCAACTCCTCCTTCTCATAGTGAATGTTGACAACATTGCTCACTCTTCCCCGGTCAATCACTGCCTCCTCGTCGTGTCTCTGGATAGCGATGAGAAGAAGGTACAAGCTGGGGCTGGGTGTGTGGAGCTCCCTCACATTCTCCCACCCATCATCCACCCCGGCCTCCACACGAGTCCATGAGGCCTCTGCGTGTGCCTCCTCCAGGCACGGCCCTAAAACCATGGACTTGTAGGAGCTTTTTCTTCCCATACCCAAATAAAACAGCTCATAACCTCTAAATTGTACACAACGTTGAGTCGGGAAAGATTTACTACAGGGGGAGAGAGATGAGGCTTTCAGACTAGAAAAACAAACCTCCTGCTTCCTCCTTGCTGTTCCTTTCTAAAAGAAATAAACAGAGGGATTTCCAGACTGAGGAAAAAAAAAAAAACAAAAAAACAAAAAAAAACAAACCCCAAACCCTGCCCTTTTCCTCACAGCAAGTTTGAGTCTCCAAACGCGATACCTGCAGGGCTCACTAGATGGCACTTGGCCACAGGACATGGCCACCAACAACCTCCAAAGGCCTCAGCAGCCGGCAAGGGCAAAGCTTCATCTTCACCCTAGCATGCTGCAGCTGCCCTTGGTGCCAGGGCGCTTCCCACCAAAACCCGTTTTCCCCCTTGCAGAAGCCAAGGGCTGGGAGCTGACGCCCTCCTTGCCTGACGTACCCCTGCTGGTGCTGCATGAAGAGCAGTTGTGCCTTAAAAGCTGAAGGACAACTACAGGGACAAACAGAAATAAGTCCTTTGGCTTCTCTTTCCCCTGCTGCCAGGGCTGGGGAAGGGCAGTGCCAGGATTACCGTGTTCAAAGCAAGAAAATCCCAACCGCGTCTCACACTTGCCTTGCAACAGCGACTTTGAAAGGGCCTCCTGGAAGCACTTGATGTCTTTTTCCCCCTCTTTACGCTGCACTTTTAATCACTATGAATGTCTTAAACACTGAAGAAAATACTTCACCACTGCTCGGTTTCTCCTTCACTGCCTCCATGGACAGCAGCTAATCCAAGAAAACCAAAATCTGTTCACCTATACTAAGAAAAACTCTGCAATGCCCAAATACCATTAGTTTTCATCGGTTTTCAGATTATTCCTTTACGAAGAGCACAAAGGGGAAGGTTTGGGACTACTGATTTGCTGAAGTTTGTCCCTGCAAGCCCATTGCATCATCAACAGCGACCAAAAGCTATTCAAACAAACAAACAAAAAAAAAAGCTGAGAATCACACCCACTTGCTTGATTTCTGAAACTGAAGTTAGAGGAAGAGCAAAATACCAAGAAATCTGGGCGAACCAGCAGGGCAGCTGGATTAAATTCAAGAAGCAAGAGCTGCACCATGCACTGGGACACAGCCCAAAACAACCAAGTTGTAATTTTCAAATAAAACTTCAAATGCCGTGCTGGCATACGCTGCTCGTTGTACTAGTAATGATGCATTAACCATGAGGACGTATTAAAAAAATACAGAATAAATAACTTATTATAATATAAGCTGCAAACACTAACATGAAATCTGCTTTTTTTGCCCCAAACTGCTGCTTCGACTGAATAGTATCAGTTGTCACCATGCAGCAGCAATGCTTGGGAAAGCGGACGCCTCCCGGTCACCGGTTAATTTGACGAGCAAGAGGAACAAATGCTCCTGTCTGGAGATAAATTTGCTGTCCGCAAGAACTAATTTCAGAGCTAACTTGTTGCTACCTCCCTGCCAGCTCCCAGGACTTGCCCACGTTACCCGGATTATCGTGCGCCTGTGGCTTTCCATCCTCTCTCTGATGACAGACTCCACCACCCTCCGTCCCTTCCCAGCAACGCATCCTGCTCCCCTGTCAAAAAAAAAACCCAAACCCCAACCTTGGAAATCACAGGATGAAAGGGCTTGATAAAATCACAATTTAAATAAAATCACAAGCTTGAGCGTGTTACGTGGTTGTCGGAGTGGGAATAAAGGGAGGGATTTGAGAAGTGATGGCAGTCTGGTGACAGTCCTGCTGCCCGGGCGTTGCCCTCTGTGACCAGCTGGAGCACGTGGAGTTCTGCCTGGGGATGGATGAGGAACCACCTTACGGGTCAGGATTAAAGGGAAGGCAGGGACAGGGGACAGTGGGGCTCTGCTAGAGGCCACCCAACCAGGAAGACCAAGTGGATGAGGCCCTCCCTGGACAGATAGGAGCAGCCTCATGCTCACAGGCCCTGGTCCTCCTTCACTCGCCCCGATACCTGTTGGAGGGACAACCCAGCAGGGCACAAGCAATCCAAGGGATAGAGGAGCCAACAAGCAGAGGTGCTGTGCTGGACCTTGTTCTCACCAGCAAGGAGGGGCTGGTGGTGAGTGTGAAGCTCAAGGGCAGCCTTGGCTGCAGTGACCATGGAATGGTGGAGCTCAACATCCTTAGAGCAGCGAGGAGGGAGCAGAGCAAGCTCGCTGCCCTGGACTTCAGAAGAGCAGCCTTTGGCCTCTTCAGGGATCTGCTTGGCAGAGTAGCATGGGATAAAGCCCTGACGGGAGGAGGGGCCCAAGAAAACTGGTTGATATTCAAGGATCACATCCTCCAAGCTGAGGAGTGATGCAGCCCAACAAAGAGGAAACACCTGGAGGCCCACACAGATGAACAAGGAGCTCCTGGACAAACTCAAACACAAACAGGGAAGTCTACAGAGGGTGGAAGCAAGGGCAGGTAACTTGGAAGGAACACAGAGAAACTGTCCGAGCAGCCAGGGATCAGGTTAGGAAAGCCAAAGCCCTGATAGAATTAAATCTGGCCAAGGACATCAAGGGCAACAAGAAAAGCTTCAATAAGTACATCAGTGATAAAAGGAAAATAAGGGAAAATGTGGGCCCTCTCCATCAGGAAACGGAGACCTGGCTACCTGGGATATGGAGAAGGCCGAGGTACTTAATGACTTTTTTGCCTCAGTCTTCAGCAGCAAGTGCTCCAGCCACATCACCCAAGATGCAGAAGGAAAAGGCAGGGACTGGGAGAATGAAGAACTGCCCACCACAGGAGATCAGGTTTGAGACCATCTCTGGAAGGTGAAGGTGCACAAGTCCGTGGAACCTGATGAGATGCACCCACGGGTCCCGAGGGAACTGGCAGGTGAAGTGGCTCAGCCACTGTCCATCATGCTTGAGAAGCTGTGGCAGTCTGGTGAAGTTCCTGCTGACTGGAAAAAGGGGAAACATAACCCGCATTTTCTAAAAGGGTAAAAAGGAAGACCCAGGGAACTACAGGCCATGCAGTCCCACCTCTGTGCCCGGCAAGATCATGGAGCGAATCCTCCTGGAAGCTGTGCTGGGGCAGGTGGAAAATAAGGAGGTGAGTGGTGACAGCCAGCACAGCTTCACTAAGGGCAAATCATCCCTGACAAATTTGGTGGCCTTCTATGACAGGGTTACAGCACTGATGGATAAGGGAAGACATCATCTGCCTGGACTTGTGCAAAGCATCTGACACTGCGCCACACAACAGCCTTGTCTCTAAATTGGAGAGACGTGGATTTGACGGACAGCGCACTCGGTGGATCAGGAACTGGTTGGATGGTCACACTCCAAGAGTTGTGGTCAACGGCTCCATGTCCGAGTGGAGAGCGGTGACGAGTGTGTTCCTCAGGGGTCGGGGTGGGGCTGGGGCTGTTTAACATCTTTGTTGGGGACATGGACAGTGGGACCCAGTGCACCCTCAGTTCACCAGCGACACCGAGCTGTGTGGTGTGGTGACATACCGGAGGGGAGGGATCCATCCTGAGGGACCTGGGCAGGCTGGAGGGGTGGGACGGGCAAACCTCATGGAGTTCAACAAGGCCAAGTGCAAGGAGCTGCCCGTGGGTGGGGGCAGCCCCAAGCACAAACCCAGGCTGGGTGAGGAGGGGATGGGGAGCAGCCCCAAGGAGAAGGACTTGGGGTACTGGTGCGTGAGAAGCTGGACATGAGCCCACAGTGTGGGCTGGCAGCCCGGAAAGGCCCCGTGTGCTGGGCTGCACCCAGAGCAGGGGGGGCACAGGGCCAGGGGGGGATTCTCCCCTCTGCTCCGCTCTGGGAGACCCCCCTGCAGGGCTGGGTCCAGCTCTGGGGCACCAACAGCAGAAGGACACGGACCTGCTCCAGCGGGGCCAGAGGAGGCCACGGAGATGCTGGGGGGGCTGGAGCACCCCTGTGAGGACAGGCTGGGA